GCCTGGGTGACAGAGTGAGACTCCAATTCCAAAAAAAAAAAAAAAGTACTTAAGTAACATCCAAGTAATCAGAAGTGTCAACAAACAACAATGACTGTTATGTATTTCCATTTTTTTAAAAAGACACAATAGTCAAAATAATCATGAATTTAAAAATAAACATGCATCCCATAAATGCTTTAGGAAAAAAAATCACTGAACTCTGTTATTGTTTATAAGCAGTGGATCTGGAGTGCTAGCTATTAAAAAAGAAAGATACCCTTCCATTAGGACCAAAGTCACTTGTACTTGGATCTCTTCAAAAAGAAAAAAAATTAAAAAGTTTAATCACAATTAGTTCATCCTTTTTTTTTTTTTAAGTTGGAGTCTCACTTTTTCTCCCAGACATCTTTAGCCAGAAGTGTAGGGGACTGAGGGAAACAGAGAGTTGGACTTGCACCTTAAGGTTGAGAAAGGAGCAACCCTCACCCCAGGTCCAGGCCTCGGTGGCAGAGAAAAGCTTGATCAGGACAGACCTAGAGACAGACAACCAAGTACTCTCTTCAAAAACTTTTCCTTGGTCAAATAAAATGCAAAGTCTTGTGTTGTTTGGAAGCTATTCTTCATAGTTTTTGGAAATAGACTGTGAGATTTTCTCTGCAGGATAAGTGGTCAGCAGAATTTAGGAGAAGCAGTGCCTTTACTTGGCTATGCTGGGTCAATCATACACCTTGGCTCCCATCTGTCAAATGGGAGTCATAATTGCTAACCACTGTTTTTGTCATGAAGTTGTTAAAAAATAAAAAGAAGAAAAAGGAAACCAGAGCATCTAACTGTCCTATGAAAGAAGTAAAATGTAATAAATGAAGACAGCAGAGCCTAGAAAGCAGTTAGCAACAAAAGTTAATATAAAATTATAAAAGATGATACCAATTAAATGTATTATGTATATAAAAATGCAACTGAGTTCCAAACATTAACAGGTGGTAGATGATAATTTTTTTTTAAGTGAGAAAGCAGGATTTATTGAGAGACAGAAAAACTCCCACAGTAGGAGGGGACCTGAAGGAGTTGCCCGGGAAATGCTTTTAAGGGCAAATTTGTAGTATTTATCAAAATAAAAATTGATCGAAACTTTGACCTAAGGAATTCTACTTTTTTTTTTTTTTTTCTGAGTTGAAGTCTCACTCTGTCACCCAGGCTGGAGTGCAGTGGCCGCTCCCGGCCACCACAGCCTCAACCTGCTGGGCTCTGGCAATCCTTCCGCCTCAGCCTTACAAGTAGCCGGAATTACAGGAGTGCGCTACCACGCCCGGCTCATTTTTGATTTGTCGTAGAGATGAGGTCTCGCCAAGTTGCCCAGGCAGGTCTCGAACCCGTAGGCTCAGGCAATCCACTCACCTCGGCCTCCCAAAGGTGCGGGATGGGATTACAGGCTGAGCCACCGAGCCTGGCAGAAATTCTACTTTTAATGATGAAACCTAAAGAAACACTTGCAGATATGCAGAAAAATGTATATACAAGGAAAAGAGTGAAGATCAATATCTGTCAATAGAAGAATACCCAAGTAAATTATGGGCACATTCATGCTATGGAATATGATACAGCCATTAAAAAGTACAAAGCAGAGCTATATTTTACTGACATTACAAGAGCTCCAATATATTTAACCTTTTTTTTTTGAGTTAGAATCTCACTCTGCCCTGGTTGGAGTGCAGTGGCACATTCATGGCTACCCCAGCGTTGACCTGCTGGGCTCAGGCCATCTTTCCACCTCAGTCTTCCAAGTAGCTGGTACTACAGGTGTGCTCTAACCCACCTGGCTAATTTTTTGATTTTTTGTAAAGATGAGGTCTCACCAAGTTGCCCAGGTTGTTCTCAAACCTGTGAGGCTCAGGCAATCCCCTCACCTCAGCCTCCCAAATATGAGCCACTGTGCCCAGCCCATATTTTACTTTTAAAAATTAATTTATTTTAGATTCAGGGATTACAAGTGCATCTTTGCTACATGGATGTTTTATATAGTGGTGGGGATTGGGTCTCAGGTAGCCCATTTCCCAGATAGCGAACACTGTACCCAATAGGTAATTTCTGAACTCTTACTCCCTTCCTTACCTTCCCCCTTTTTGGTGTCCCCAGTGACTATTATATCCATCACTGCCCCATTAGCCCCCACATGTGAGAACATGTGGTACCTGGTTTTCTGTTTCCAAATTAGTTCACGTAGGGTGATATCCTCCAGCTCAATCTTTTAAAAAACAAAAACACGTTGCAGAATTATACAACCAATCTGGTTGCATTCAGGTTAAATAAATTTTAGGTGAGCCGGGAGCAGTGGCTGAAGCCTGTAATCCCAGCACTTTGGGAGGCAGAGGCGAGAGGACTGACTGAGTCCAGGGGTTCGAGACCAGCCTGAGCAACATGGCGGGACCTTGTCTCTACAATAAATTAAAAAAAAAAGTTAGCCAGGCATAGTGGCACATGTCTGTGGTTCCAGCTGCTTGGAAGGCTGAGGCGAAAGGATTACTGGAGCCCAGCAGGTCGAGGCTGCAGTGGTTGTGAGCATGTCACTGCATTCCAGTCTGGGTGACAGAGTGAGACTCCGACTCAATAAAGAAAAAAAAAATTTAGGTGACCTATGTATCTATGTTTGATTGCATATGTGTCTGCATGTGCAAGTGCATGCATATGTGTAGCCTATGTATATATATGGAAAAGCAATCTGTAAGGAAACTCTCTCTAGCCATTAGCCATGGCCCCTCTCGGATGGGAGTGGGAGATGAGGAAGACCCTAGAGGAGCATTCACATTTGCTCCACACATTTTGTTGCTTAAATTTTTAATATTTGTTGCTTTAGAGATGGTATCTTGCTATAATGCCCAGGCTAGAGTGCAGTGGCTATTCACAGGTGCATTCATTATTCAATACAGCCCCAAACTTTTGGGCTCAAAGGATCCTCCTGCCTCAGCCTCCCGAGTAGATGTGACTACAGGTGTGTACCATTGTGTCCAGCTTTGCTGCTTGTTTTGCAATGAGAAAGAAGAAATTAGAAGAAAATTTTTTTAAAAAAGGCAGAGATACTCATGTAAGTTCTTTCTTTGTACATTCTCAGGCCATAAGGGATACAATTGCACTGAGAGCAGTTTGGGACCCCAAAAGGGCAGAATATAGCTCAAGGCAAAGGTAAAGTGTTCGTGTGGCCCCTGTGAGAAATACCAAGCCACAAATATGAACCGGCTGTTCTCAGGACCACAGACAGGTAAAATATTAGCGGCAAGATAACCACTGATCAGTTTCGGAGCCAAATCCTGATAAGCAACAGAGCAGGGCAAACCCAGAGCAAGAACTGGGCCATTTCCAGTGTACCTGTGGGGCTCAATACTAAGAACCCTGCTCCAGTCCTGGCCACGGTGCTCTGTGAATTGGCACAGAGAGGGGAGCAAGTGAAGGAAGCTATGGTACCTTGCATGAGCACCTCCATGGCCGTCTGCATCTTGGACAGTTGTCTCTCTTCCAATTCACTGTCGAATTCATCGTCCTCCTGGATGTCTATGTCCGAGTCATCATTACCTGGCAGGAACAAGCAGGCAAAACAAAAGAGTGGCTTCATCATTACAATGAAAACAGTTTCTGTTCAGTAAGGCTCATGAAAACAAGCCATATGTACTTCTTAGGCTTTCTCTTCATGCATTAGATTTTATGAGACTCTCTGGATTTGCCTGTAGATATTTAGTAAAGAGTTAATGTAGATAACGATATTCTGGTTTTGTTGTTGTTGTTTTTAGAGACAGGGTCTCACTCTGTAATCCAGGCTGGAGTGCAGTGATGCAATCATAGTTCACTGCTGACTCAAACTCCTGGGCTCAAGTGATCTTCCTGCCTCAGCCTCCTGAGTAGCTAGGACTACAGGTGCATGCCACTATGTCCGGCTAATTTAATTTTTTTTTTTTTATAGAGACAGTGTCTCATTATGTTGCCCAGACTGGTCTTGAACTCCTGAGCTCAAGCAATCTTCCAGCCTCAGCCTCCTGCAGCACTGGGATTAGAGGTGTGAGTCAACATGCCTGGCCTACTGTGTTTTTTTAAAAACCAATTTTCAGGCAACCCCTTCGGGTCCCCTCCCACTGTGGGAGCTTTTCTGTCCTCTCAATAAATCCTGCTTCCTCAAAAACAAACAAACAAACAAACAAACAAACAAAGCCAAAACCAATTTTCTGGTCGGGCTCAGTGGCTCAGCCTGTAATCCCAGCTCTTTGAGAGGTCAAGGCAAGTGAACTGCCTGAGCCCACGGGTTCAAGACCAGCCCGGGCAACTTGGCGAGATCTTGTCCCTACAATAAATAAAAAATTAGCCAGGCATGGTAGCACATGCCTGTAGTTCTGGCTACCTGGAAGGCCGAGGCAGACGCATCACCGGAGCCCAGCAAGTCAATGCTGGGGTAGCCATGAGCATGCCACTGCACCCTAGCCTGGGCGATGAAGTGACTCCAACTCAAAAAAAAAAAAATTTCCAAAGCAAGAAAAAAGTGGGTCAGATATATTAGTCAGCTTATATATTGTTCTAGTCTGTGAAATTTTAAAAATTCACTAGCCAGCTGTCAAGGTAGCTGGAAGTGCTTGGTTGGTTCCATTCTCTGTTCAATGTTAGGTTGTGTTACCAGAAATCAAGTTCCTAGGTCAAAACAAAGATGAGGAAGTAGAGCCCGTTACAAAGGTAACACCAGTCTGGAGCAAGGAGGAGGCAGGGCTAGGGATGGTATGAGTGGGGTTGTTCTGAGGAAGATGACAATGTTAGTGATAGGCAGTGAAAACTGGTGCACCATATATTCTCCAATGGGGAAAAGTACATCATAAAGATAGATATTTAAAAGGTCATTTTCAGTGCAACAACTCTTTATATTAATTTTTTTTTTTGAGTTGGAGTCTGACTCTGTCGCCCAGGTTAGAGTACAGTGGCATGTTCATGGACACCCCAGCGTTGACCTGCTGGGCTCTGGCGATCCTTCTCCCTCAGCCCTTCCAAGTAGCTGGAACTACAGGCGCATGCTACCATGCCCAGCTAATTTTTTTTGATTTATTGTAGAGATGAGGTCTCGCCAAGTTGCCCGGGCTGATCTTGAACCTGGGACTCAGGCAATCCACTCACCTGAGCCTCCCTAAGTGCTGGGATTATAGGCTGAGCCACTGAGCCCAGCCTATATTAATTTCTTAAATAGTTTTTTAGAGTCTCGTGCCTGCAGATTGAACATTCCCTAAATGGAGACTAAAGAAAGTGAGTTTCCACAATGGGAAAAAAAAGTTTTCACCACCTGGCACCTGACTTTTCTGCACTGAGGGAGCCATGCAGGTTTTGGAAGGATGGAATCGGAAGAGCCTGCGTTGCTATCCTGATTCCTGACTCAGAAGTTAGTTTGAAACTACAGTAATTGTTGGTCTACCACAATGCTTTGCTTCACCCCTGCTATAAGGGAATGAAATGATAGCTGAGGATAGCTGGCACTGAGAGAAGGTGTGTTTTCTTTTTTTTTTTGAGTTGGAGTCTCACTCTGTCGCCCAGACTCTGGAGTGCAGTGGCTGCTCCTGGCCACCGTAGCCTTGACCTGCTGGGCTCTGGTGATCCTTCCGCCTCAGCCTTCCAAGTAGCTGGAATTACAGGCATGCGCTACCACGCCCGGCTGATTTTTTGATTTATTGTAGAGATGAGGTCTTGCTGCCCAGGCAGGTCTCGAACCCACGGGTTCAGGCAATCCACTCACCTCAGCCTCCCAAAGGCGTGGGATTACAGGCTGAGCCACTGAGCCCGGCTTATTTTTTTTTTTTTGAGTTGGAGTTTCACTCCGTTGCCCAGACTGGAGTGCAGTGGGTTGCTCCCGGCCACTGCAGGGGCTCCGGCGATCCTTCCGCCTCAGCCTTCCAAATAGCTGGAACTACAGGCGCGTGCTACCATGCCCGGCTAATTTTTTGATTTATTGTAGAGAGGAGGTCTCGCCAAGTTGCCCAGGCGGGTCTCGAACCCGCGGGCTCAGGCAATCCACTCACCTCAGCCTCCCAAAGGTGCGGGATTACAGGCTGAGCCACTGAGCCCGGCGAAGGTGTGTTTTCTTTAGTCATGGAGAGAAGAGCTGTACTCCATAGTACAGGGGGGCAAACCTGGAGCTGGACCAAGTGTCCATAATAGCATCCTTCAAGGTCTTTAACACCATTAATTTGAAAGCTATTATCTTCCAAGTCTTTACAGAGAATATGATTAAATAGCAACATAACTATTCAGCTTCATTCACTTTTTACTTCATCTGGGAAAATTATAGCAGTAAATCCTTATGCCATGCAATATAAATCAAATAATATAATTAATTTTAACATAAAATTAATATATTAATTAATATATTTGATATAATTAATATATTTGGATGAGACACATTTTAAGTCTCTCAGACTCAATACAATTTCTTCTGACAACTCCAGCCAATATGGACTGAGACTCAGCAGGTAAACTAAAGTTCCCAGCTATGGTTTGAATGTGTCTCCCAAAATGCACGTGCTGGAGACTTAATCCCTAATGCAACAGTGTTGGCAGACGGGGCCTAATGAGAGGTGTTAGGTCATGAAGGCTGCGCCCTCATGATCGATTAATGCCGATTATGAAAGGGCCTGAGGTTGCAAGTTCAAACTCCACTTTCTCCTACTCTCTCTGTCCTTCGGTCAGGGGTGACGAGGAAGGACGCCTTTGCCAGATGTCAGCCCGCTGGTCTTGGACTTGCTAGCCTCCAGAACCCTGGCCTGATATATTTCTGTTTACAATAATAATATAATGCTAATATATATTATACATTTCTAATCTGTATCTATACACACATACAGTTGGCCCTCTGTATCTATCAGCTCTGTATCCATGGATTCAGCCAACCACAGATAAAAAATATTTGGAAAAAATAATCCACATGTTCCAAAAAGCAAAACTTGAATTTGCCATGCGCCAAGTACTATGTTGAATTCATGTGAATAAAGCAATGTGTAGGCATTGTTATTAGGTCTTTTATTTAATCTAGAGATGATTTAAAATATACAGGAAGACATGCTTAGGTTATATGCAAACACTATGCCATTTTATATAAAGGACTTGAATATTTGTGGATTTTGGTATCTGAGGAGTGAGTGTCCTGGTATCAAACCCCCCATGGATACTGAGAAATAATACTGTGTGTGTGTATATATATATATAATATATATAACATACTATGTATGTATTAGATATGTGTATATATGTATATATGTACATGTATATATATAAATATTATATATATAAACATGTAATTACCCAATCTCAGGTACTGTCTTATAGCAGCACAAAACAGACTAAGACATTATTTATTTATTTTTTGAGTCAGAGTGTTACTCTGTCACCCAGGCTGGAGTGCAATGACATGATTATGGTCACAGAAGCCTCGATTTGCTGGGCTCAGGTGATCCTCCCACCTCAGTCTTCCAAGCAGCTGGAACTAAAGGCATGCACCACTCACCCAGCTAATTTTTTTATTTTTTATTTTTTGTAAATTGTAGAAACAAGGTCTCACCAGGCTGCCCAGGTTGTTCTCAAATCTCTGGACTCTGGCCATCCTTTCACTTCTGCCTCCTGAAGTTCTGGGATTACAGGTGTGAGTTAACATACCTGGCCAGACTAATATTTAATGTATTCTGACACTGATAGCACTGTGTTGTCAGTGATGTGTTAAAATTAAATATGACTGACAAAGTTGCTGGTATAATTCAACTAGGAAAGAATAGTCTTTTCAACAAATGGTGCTGGGACAACTGGATAGCCACATGCAAAAGAATAAAGTTAGATCCTTACTATATGTAAAAATTAACTCAAAATAGATGAAAGACCTACACGTAAGAACTAAAACTATAAGGTTATTAGAAGAAAACATAGGAGTAAATCTTGGTGACATTGAATTAGGCAATGGTTTTTTTTTTTTAGATACAACAACGGTTTCTTAGAAAAAAGCATAAGTAACAAAAGAAAAAAGATAAATTGGACTTTGTTAAAACTTTGTCCAGCAAAGGACAGCATCAAGAAAGTGAAAAGGTCCAGGTGCAGTGGCTCAAGCCTGTAATCCCAGCACTCTGGGAGGCTGAGGTGAGAGGATTGCCTAAGCTCTGGGGTTCGAGACCAGCCTGGGCAACTTGGTGAGACCTTGTCGCTACAATAAAAATAAAATAATAGGCTGGGTGTGGTAAGCGCACATCTGTAGTTCCAGCTATTTGGAAGGCTAAGGTGAAAGGATCGCATGAGCCCAGCAGGCTGAGGCTGCGAT